TGCTCTGAAATGATTAACAGTCCCCCTTGATTTGCACCTTCAAAACTTGTCAGTAGTTTGGCTGTGCGTTTGGAAAAAAACGGCTCTGAATTAACAATCCACATCTCTGTCTGAAATATTTGTGTGCTTTGAATGAAGGCAAGCTCTGTGGGAAAAGTTGCCTGTGTACTCTGTTCCCCCCAACAACCCCAAAACCTCCAATTAGAGTCACTCTCCTCCTCGTGGTCGCTCGCCGCCGCTGTGTGATCGTGTGTTAAATTTAGATGCTGAATGTTTTTTTTGTCGCTTTTTTTTATGTACAGTCGGTGGCCTGAGTGCTGAGAATGCCATTGTCTGGTTGAAAGATTTAGGAACGCAGAGTCAATAACAGTGTTCAACATGTTGTCCTCTAACACTTTTCACTTAATGCTGTTGATGGTTATCAACCATCTACTACAGTGATTGGACACTTCAGGGATCCAGACTGCGTTTGGTCACAAACTCACATTTTGTGACCATTTTTTCTGCCTGTGCGACTAGATTTTGTGTGCGGTCGCACTGGAGCAACCACCGTGTTGTTCAGCTCATAAGCGCTGCCATTTGTTGCATATGAGAAACATCAAACGGCAAACGAAACTGAAAGCATAACCAAACCGCGCTACTCGTTTGAACTGCGCAGCGCTTCTAGTGTAGAGCCTGGTTTATACTCGCCGCGTCAGCAGGAGCGTGAAGGTGCGCGCAGCAAAAATGACGCGAATACTGAGAACATTTTCTTTTTGTTTTTATTTAAGCTTATCTTTGCTGTTTACCTCACGTTACGGTATGGAGGCTCTCTTTTATTAAATTTTTTTATTTGATTCCTCAGTGTTTGCTAAACGTTTTGTAATTTATTAGTCTGCATATAATATGTGGTGTATGCCATTTTATTCGTTTTTGTTAAACGTTTTTATAAGCAAGTTTGTCATTGTATCTTACTGTTTTATTGTTGTTGTGCTTTTTAATTAAAAATAACAATGAATCCATCTTTTGTTTTAGTTTTAAAAAATGAAAGGTGTGTGGATGTATGTAAGAAAAACAGACAATTATCTTTTCTTGTCAAACTTGACAACAAGATCGCAAATTCTAAAGTGAAAGCATCCGAAGCCCGGCTTATAACTTGGCAAAAGAGGAACTCCCGTTCACAAAATTCAAATCACAAATAATACTACTGCTGAAAAAGAAAGGGTTGAATGTTAACCACTTTCGTTTCCATATAACTATAAACTATGATAAAAGTTCATCAGTATGCATTGATTAATCCCATGTTGTAGCGCAAAAAAAAAAAAAAATATTGTGACCAAATCATGTGCTCGTGCGACCAACTGAGAAAGTTAGTCACAAAAGAGTGACCAGTGGGAAGAATGAGTCTGGAGCCCTGCACTTTAATGGTAGGATCTTGGTGTCATGAGCAAAAGTACTGATAGATGAATATATCTCCCAATATTTTTAGTTTTTACTTTTGAATAGATTTAGTATGGCCTGCCAAAGTTAAAGCTGGTATCATTTAAATATGTTCAATGCTGGTAAATTTCTCAGCACAGTCTAGTATTATTGTTATCTATTTGCATTTCTGTGTTTAATGCTGATGAGTTGCAAAGGTTTAAAAAAATCCACAAATTAATTTAGGTGGTATTATAAGTTAGTTTTAAAAATGTCTTTTTTTAGTTTAATTTTCCCCCCTTTTTTTATTTAGTTTCATTAAAGGGTTAGTTCGCCCAAAAATGAAAACTCTCTCATTACTTACTCACCCTCATGTCATTTCAAACCCGTAAGACATTAGTTCATCTTCGGAACACAAATTAAGATATTTTTGATGAAATCCGAGAGCTTTCTGACATTCTGACATAGAACCCAGATATGCCTTGTCTTGTTTGCAAGCAGAGGAATGCAACGCATATGTTGTGGTACTGTCGTGAACACACATCGAAAACGAACACGGAAGAGAAGAATTTGTTGAATAAAGTCGTTATTTTTGTTTTCTTTGCGCACAAAAAGTATTCTCGTAGCTTTGTAAAATTACAGCTGAACCACTGATGTCACATCGACTATTTAAAATTTTTTTTTTTGGTGTTTTTGCCTTTTATTTAATAGGACAGTAGTTAGACAGGAAGCAAAGTTGGAGAGATAGAGGGGGGATGGGATCGGGAAAGGTCCACGAGTCGGGACTCGAACATGGGACACCCGAAGCGCAACGGTGCTACATGTCAACATGCTGCCCACCAGGCTATCGGCGCCGACCACATCGATTATTTTAACGATGTCCTTACTATGTTTCTGGGTCTTGAACGTGTCAGTTGCGTTGCTATGCAGGTTAGAAAGCTCTCAGGTTTCATCAAAAGTATCTTAATGTATATACAACATGATGGTGAGTAAATAAGGACAGAATTTTCATTTTTGAGTGAGCTATCCCTTTAACAATATTGAACTGTTTGGAGATAATTGTCACTGATGGGTGAAAGTACGTTTAACCTACTGGATCTATATGTCTCCATTGCCAACTGTTTTCCATATTTTAGAAGCGCTGTCTCAACCCTCTACGGACACCTTGGCAATTGAATCGCCATTGGCTAGTAAATTTTTTTGTTTACTCGCCAGACTGAAATACTATATTATACTATACTATACTAGTCTGTCTCTCTCTCTCTCTCTCTCTCTCTGCACTAAGGATTAATGAGCTACTGGATTCATGAATATTAATCAGGTTGTGTGCGTTTGCTCGAACTGATTCGCTGAAATCAAAACATGGACGATAATGAGCCAATGAGATTGCCGTTTGCGCATTAGTTCTGCCCACAAAGCGGCAGTTCTTAAAAGTTGAAGAATTCCAAAGGAACTCCGTTATTTTTACAGGAAAATACAACAAAGTATATCGTTTACATGTAGCGCATGAATTCTGCATGTTATGTAAGACTCTCGCTCGCTCTTGCTCTTTGCGCGTGTGAGAAAAAGCGACGGCGAGTCATGCCAAATACACAAACACAGGTGCGCTGCGCATCCATTCAAATGAACTGAAAAATATCACAGATCGCTTGACGGAGAGAGAAACTCTGAAGCGCTCAGTCAGAGTGTTCGGCGAGTGAAAATATATCTGTGCTAAACTTATACTCAGCCTCCAACTCACACACTGGCAAGTAAAATCTGAGAATTTATTAGCCATTGGCTAATATTAGACATCATTTAGTCGCCCAGAGTGAAGATTTAGTCGCATATGCGAGTGATTTACTCGCAATGTAGAGGGTTGTCTCTTGTGTAGTCCTCCTCCTCTCCTGAGCGTCTATTTGGGGCTTGTAAAGTTTTATTTGCACTTTCCACTTTGTATCTATCATCCTCCTAATACTGCTGACCAGATCTCTGAGAGCTTAACTGGTGCACTGGAACAAATCCTAGTTCTGTGAGCTTGTTTGGGAAGACAGATAAAAAGTCTTGATTGTTGACATTCTTTGTGTTTATTGGATCTTGGGAGCGGTCCTGAAGGAGATCTCAAAGCAAGGTTTTAAGTACTTGTTTTGTGTGTGGTATAGCTAGTTTCATTGAAGATCTTTTTGGCCAGATTATAAGCAAATGTTCACAAAACTCGTGTCCATTTGTGCTGTAAGTATTAGCTAGACTGGTGTTACATGTTTTCTTAAGCCATACTTTGTACTCCATCTAGCTGTACTTGAATGCTAGAACTTGTCCTGTGTAAATGCCCATCTAAATAGTCGACGAGTCAAAAGTGATATACAGTTAGGTCCATATATATTTGGACACAGGCACAATTTTTATTATTTTAGCTGTTGACCAAAACATATTCAAGTTACAGTTATAGAACTACAGTGCACACTCTGAGCTTTAATTTGAGGGTATTCTCATCACAATTCTCATCACAATTGGAGGAAAGATTACGGAAATACAGTGATCTTGATACCAAATCAACTGTTTGGTACATTCGGAGAAAAAAGAATGCACTGGTGAGCTCAGCAACATAAAAAGCCCTGGATGTCCATGGAGGACAATAGTGGGGGATGATCGGAAGATCCTGTGCGTAATGATATTATGCAGCGCCTGAAAATAGGCTAACTTCTGTCAGCATAACCAACGTGACCACCTGCTTGCACAGGTTGAGAGAAAACATCTCTCAGGTTATAAAGGGAAAAAGAAAACCACTGTTTGTGGGCAGCACTTGGGAAATAAACAAACACAACAGCACCTATACTGAAATAAGTGGGTTAATAATAATATTACAGCAGAATGAGTTGTCTTGGAATATAAAGCACAGTTGTGAACTGGGCATGACCCAGATGTGTTTCTGTGTTAAAACCAACTATCTTTGGCTTGAGGAATGGTAGTTTCAGCAAAGTCCGTGACCACATCCACAAAGTCTTTCTTCTAAACGTTTTGTCCTGTCAAAGTTGCCGGTCACTGAGGTATGCTGGATGATGACTGATTTTTGACAATTTTACTGTATTATTTATATATATATATATATATATATATAAGGGCTGCCCTCGACTAAAGATTTGCCATGGCACACCGGCAGAAGTAATGATTATGAATGTGTCAGGTAAAAACAGTAAGGAGGCTGCATTAACGTTTTAATAATTTATTGATAAAACTAGGCAGACACCGCCTAGTGACTTTTTCACACATTTTTAATAAATTCTTCTCTAATTTTTTAAAGTTAATTATGTTAGAAATAATATTTTGTGTATTGCTTAATCATTTGATGTCATAGCATTTCTTATTTTTAGGATTTTGAAAAGAATAATAGAGATAAACTGTTTTATATTTTTATGATTTATGGTCCAGGTTTAAATAGATTTCGAATTTTAGGTGTGAGAAACTGCTAAAATTAAATAAATCCTCATATTTTAGATAGTATTTATTTAATTTACTCAAACAGTTGAATCAAGTTGTAAGTGAGAACCTCAGAATGACCAAATATTGTTAAAGTAATTGGTATGAGAGATGCATTTCACACTTAATTTATTTCTCTGTTCCAGCCCCGAAGACATGCAGTCCGAAGCAGTTTGTGTGTAAAGACCAGGTGACCTGCATCTCCAAAGGCTGGCGCTGTGATGGAGAGAAAGACTGTCCCGACGGCTCTGATGAAGCCGCAGATATCTGTGAGTAAACCGGTTTATCTCATCAGATGTGTCATCATGACACAAAGATATGATATGATAAGCAGAGCTAAAATGTTATGACGTTATAAACTAAAGCCAGATAAAGTCTCAGGTAGTTTTGTGTGTCTACAAGTTAAAAATAGCTTTAAAATTTATCTCGAGATCTGTTGCGTGCCAGTCTAGTTGTTTCTGAAAGAAAAGACATGTCCAGCTGTTGCTGCCCTGAACTGAAAGTCACCATGAACATTGTTTGCGCAAATTGCAAGGTAGTGCTGAAATTAATGCAGCAAACAATCACTAAATTAAAAATGGGACATTTCTCACTGCTTTTTAATTGTGGATGCATGCGTATTTAAATTCAGGCCGATACTGATAAACTGATCATTTATTCCTTCTAAGGCCGTTAACCAGTTAATGGCCAATATTAAAATTCTATACTGTTTGGTTTAAATTATTAAAAAAATAAAATACAAAAAAAGTAAAACAATAGTTTTAAATGCTACATGTTAATTTAGGCATCAAAATATTATTATATGTGGTATGAAAAATGGATATGGATATTTCATACTTGCGGGAGCTCCCACCCGCTCCCGCAAGGTTCTATTCCGTACCCACCCGCTCCCTCTATATATTCACTCTTTGTTCACCCGCTGTCCGCTTAGAATAATTTTCTTCCCGACCCGACCGTTCCCGCTAAATTTAGATCTCGTTTCCAGAATCTCACATTTAAATTTCTGCTACTGAAAGAAAGAGAGATAAAAGTGTAGTCTGCACAAAATTGTGTTATTTTATTTGTCTTGGCAAGAGTCTTGAATTTATTGACTTTGACTTGAATTTATAGGAATTATCTTAAGACACAAAATTCGTTTAATATTTTTATAGTTTAACAAAAATTGTATTTCTTATTTTTATTCGTATTGTCAGGATACAATTTGTTTAACATTGACAACACAATAGGGAAAAAGTGTCGCAGAGAGAAAAAAAAAATTTGTAGGTTGTACAAAAATTGCCTATTAGCTATTTTTTTTCGTCTTGTCAAAATACTAAATTCGTTTGACATTTTTCTGTTAACACAGTAGGAAAAGT